GGGGCAGCAAATTTTTATTTTGTCTAGGGCGGCAAAAATCCTTGCACCGGCACTGATCCTGGGCAGGTGCACCAGTCTACTGGTGACCCACAGGAGGGGAGTGCACTGATTGCACTGCACTCTCCTCCTGCCCAGCCCCATCTTTACCGCAGTGCAAGTGCCCTCTGCCCCTAATTTACAGTGGCTCACACTCACAACAAGCAGTGCCTGGAGCCGTGAAGGAGCGGGTATGGCAAAGAGCTACTGATTAGCATAACATCAATATCCGTTATAAAACCAGGAAAAGGTGGGCATGGATGGTGAACTGATTTGGTGGTGCAATGGGCCACTTGACTGGTTTTGCCCCCCAGGCCTAAGGCTGCCAGCCCTCCCCTGCTCCCACACACATAGAATCACATACATACACAATCACAGACCTATACACACAATTACAGGTATACCCACACACAATCAGACCTATGCGCACAATCACATACATTCACACACAGTCAGACCCACACACCCAATCACAGAGGCATACACACATAGTCACAGACCTATACGCACAATCACATACCTACAAACTCATCAGACACACACAAATAATCAGAGATATACACACAGAATCACAGACCCACACACATAATCACTGACTTACACCTACGCAAGACCCCCCACCACACACGCAAAATCACTGACAAATCATTCACAAAAAATTACATTTATCACTGTGTCATGTAGTGTGTGTATATATACACACACATACCCACCCTGCACAGAACCCCTTCCTGCACGCTGCAGTCTCCCTGCACCCTTCACATACCCTCTCTCCCACTGCACCCTGCACAGAACCCCTTCATCCCTGCACTCTGCAGACTCCTGCACTCTACACAGACAGACCACTCCCTCCCTACACTCTGCACAGACCCCTCCCTCCCTGCACCCTGCACAGACCCCGCTTCCTGCCTGCACCCTGCAAAGACCCCCTCCCTGCCTGCACCCTGCAAAGACACCCTCCCTCCCTGCACCCTGCAAAGACTCCATCCCTCCCTGCACCCTGCAAAGACTCCATCCCTCCCTGCACTCTGCACAGACCCCTTCCCTCACTACATACTGCACAGACCCACTCCCTGCACCCTTCACAGCCTTCATTTCTCCCTGAACTGTACTAAGTAGAGCCCCTGTACCCACGCACATGACTGGGCAGCACGCACATAATATCTATGTATGAGGGCCTCACAAAGAAGGGGAAGGAGTAGTAGCCAAAAAAAAAAGCTTTGCACCAAGTAGGGGGCCCTTGATCTCCTATTGCCCGAGGGCCCTGTGAGTTGTCAGTCCACCCCTGCCTGCAGCCACGCATGACGTGCAACCAGAGAACTTGCTACATTGCACCCTGTGGTTTCAAGACACCCCAGGCCCTGATGCAGATTATGAAGAAGAACTGTTCCACCTTGTGGAAATTCACATCACACTGACACTTACTATGTGACTCCAGAGGCAACATGGTCTCGTTGGTTCACCTGCCAACGGAAGTATCACGTCTCTACCACCACTGGGAGGTGGCTATCCCACGTCTCCTTCACCAAGTCTCCTGATCTCTCGTGGAAAGATCTAGGCCCAATAGCCAAGTCATGGAGTACAGCAACTCCAGAACAACTTGAACTAACAGGAGTAACTAAGAAGATTATTAACTGCAATACAGTCGGTTATCCACGGTACCATACAAAGATATGTGAGGATCTTCCCCCTATGGGACAAGATCCAGAAGCCCCTCATGATTGTTTTGAACAAATGAAAATGGAGACCACCCACCTACCAATCGTACATGGTTTGTGGATGGCTCCAGATTTGCCGATGAACAAGGGCAATACCACACTAGGTACGCAGTTACTACAGAATGCCAGATATTACAAGCTGCTGCACTCCCACCAACAAAATCAGCCCAAGAAGCCGAGCTGACAGCTCTTACGGTGGCCTGCAAGCTGTCTGAAGGTATACGTGTCAACATTTACACAGATTCAAGATACGCCTTGGGGGTGGCACACGATTTTGGTCTAATTTGGAAAACCAGGGGGTTCCTCACAGCCACCGGTACTCCCGTGAAGCATGGGGCGGCTATTGAAGAACTGATGGATGCCCTGTTACTACCTGCAGAAGTGGCCGTATTAAAGGTAAAAGCCCACGGAAGGCTGAACTCAGAAGAAGCTCAAGGTAACCACCTGGCTGATCAGGCCGCTAAGGAAGCAGCACAACAAGGGTGGAAAGTGGACAGAAGAGTGGCCACCGAGACCACCCCTATCTATACTTTGCAAACCTTGCCCACAGACCTCAGACTCTTAAAAGAACAACAGGCCGCAGCAACCCCTCAAGAAAAACAAAGTTGGAAGAACAGAGGGGCAATCCTTCGAAATGATGTCTATACCATCAACCTCAAGTTCTGTTTACCTAAGAATATGTACCCAGTTGTTGTCCAGTGGGCCCACGGACCAGCCCACTTGTGTAAACATCTCATGAACTCTCTAATTGATAAATAGATTACTACTCTGACGCAGAACTATTGTAGATCCTGTACGATTTGTGCCAAATGTAACCCCGGGAAGATCATCAAAGCTGCTCTTAATCACCAAGCCAAACCACAATATCCCTTCCAGAGGATACAGATTGATCATATCCAGATGCCGAAGAGCGGTCGTTATGAATATGCATTAGTCATCGTGGACGTGTTCTCAGGATGGCCAGAAGCCTTCCCCGTCGCCAATCTTACTGCAAAGACCACAGCAAAGTATCTCCTTACAGAAATTGGCTGCCGATATGGAGTTCCAGAAGTGATTGAGAGTGACCAAGGAACTTCCTTTACCGCTTTGTTTACATGGGAAGTCTGGGCAGCACTGGGGGTGATCCTTGCCTTCCACACACCTTATCACCCACAGAGTAGCGGTAAGGTAGAACGCATGAATGGCATGTTGAAAGCCAGAATGCTCAAAACGTCCCAGGAGACCAATATGCCCTGGCCCGAGAGTCTTCCCCTAGCACTGTTCAGCCTACGATATACCCCTAGGGGGAAGTTCAGTCTATCTCCCTATGAGATTTTGTTCGGTACAGAACCAAGGTTAGGTTGTTATTTCCCCCAACAGCTTCAGATTCAGTCAGATGCTATGGCAGACTATGTAACTGTATTCTCTCATGCCGTGACCAAAATCCATGCCCAAGTATTTTCTTCTATTCCAGATCCTGAGTCGAATACAGGTACTCACAAGTTGCTTCCGGGTGACTGGGTTATGGTCAAATTCCACATGGGACAGATGGTTCGGATGGATGAATAGATGGCAGAGAACCTTATTCCAAGTTGGGACAGCAGTTCTCACAATGATAGTTATTTTCCTGTTCTTGACTTGACAGAAATATTTGCAGAAGACAGTAGGACAGACTATAGACAACGTAACTCCTACCTTTCTACACCAAGACATCACTGATCTAGAATGTGACACACCACATACACCCCTCCAGTCTCACCAATTTAAACAGACAACTGCATTCCTTTAGGGATAGCGTCTGTCTCTACGGGTAGGAGTCTCACGTGTGGAGATGTGGTGGACTAGCCGCTGCAGGATACCCACGGAGTGAAGTGTTCGAGGCCCGTTAAGGCAGATGAGCTGCAGGCACATATTAGGGACAGTAGTAGTTCTTTTAATAAATAGCCATTTTAAGGGGGGACTGTTGTGGAAATGAGATATTGACATAATTTGTAGCTAGTAAAATGTCTATTTACTCATCTAACTGTAATCAGTGCTTAGTCTACTAATATGTGATTAGTCAAAATGGCCGCTAGGAGCCTCCAACCCCTCCCTCCCCTTAACACTGACTAACTATCTCGTGTAACAAGATTGCGCTGGAATCTGGGGGAGACCCTCATGGTCCCAGTGACATCACCCCCCAGTAGGCAGAACACTAAGAAAACCACTTAACACCTAACCAATTAATGATGTATTATTTCATGTTATCTCGGACAATGCATATGATGTAATTTTGCTTTAAAAGGGACCTGCCGTCCCCTCTGAATAAACATTCCTCAAGTTTTTCATCAACCTGAAACTTGTGTCTGGTGTGAATTACTTCAGGGAGCGTGCACGCACTGTTTCTTCATTTGGCCAGGGGCCGATACACAACATTATCAATTTATTGATTGATTTCCACTTCAGTTTATAATTCTATGTCCTTATTTAAAAAGGCAGGATTCTTTGTAAATTACTTTTGTGTCTTGAAAATATCTATTATAACATTTTCTATCATATAAAGATTTAAAGGGACACTATAGTCACCTGAACAACTTTAGCTTAATGAAGCAGTTTTGGTATATAGAACATGCCCCTGCAGCCTCACTGCTCAATCCTCTGCCATTTAGGAGTTATATCCCTTTGTTTATGAACCCTAGTCACACCTCCCTGCATGTGACTTGCACAGCCTTCCATAAACCCTTCCTGTAAAGAGAGCCCTATTTAGGCTCTCTTTATTGCAAGTTCTGTTTAATTAAGATTTTCTTATCCCCTGCTATGTTAATAGCTTGCTAGACCCTGCAAGAGCCTCCTGTATGTGATTAAAGTTCAATTTAGAGATTGAGATACAATTATTTAAAGGTAAATTACATCTGTTTGAAAGTGAAACCAGTTTTTTTTTCACGCAGGATCTGTCAATCATAGCCAGGGGAGGTGTGGCTAGGGCTGCATAAACAGAAAAAAAGTGATTTAATTCCTAAATGACAGTGAAATTGCAGGGGAATGATCTATACACTAAAACTGCTTTATTTAGCTAAAGTAATTTAGGTGACTATAGTGTTCCTTTAATAAAAAAGACACATTCCATCCTAGGTAATGGTTTTGACAAAGCTTTAACCATATAAAGGCTTACAGGTTCTCCTATACCTTAAGCATTCCCAACCACATGTGGTGCCTATATATACACATAAATATAGTGAGGAGACAAAGTTGGAATATTAGGACAAAGGCAGGTCACAGAACTAAAGGTTTGTTCTTATAATTTATTAAAGTGGAAAATAAAATATTTACAGCAATTGTAATCTTCCCTGGACAGAAATCGGAATGCCAGTCTTATGTAAGATGACCTCGAGCAACATGAAAATTTGATTTCCAGCACCCCCTCCCCCAAATACACTGTAAATGTAAAAAAAACTGAATTGGTCAATTTGAGAGGAAGAGGATTGCAGCCATATTCCAAAAACAGAGCTTCCTAATTTTAGGTTCTCCAAGATTTCAGGTTATCCTTTAACAAGCATGGAGCGATTCAACCAATATATTCTATATTTGTCAATAGACCCACCTGACTAGAGTTGGGTGAAGTTGTCACGGCCACCAGGTCCTAGAAGTCTAGTTGGCCTGTGAACTACGCACTCATCGCGATCCCCTTAAACACATGTGATCAAAGTAGTAGAGCTTCAGGTTGTTCCCTGTGACGAGAAGGAATTCTAGTGCATGATCCCCACTGACACATGCTGTGTTAGTACACCAAGATATGAAATGTAATCTCTTTCCCTTCTAACATAATGGAACTGCACATTAGAGGTAGCATGGTAGAGAGTTCTGCTCCATAAAAGGATCTGCCAAACTTATCAGGTAGGATTAGACAAGATGATTTTTTCCTCTCTACCCACTGAGATAAGGAACAAAACCTTAAAGTACAAAACCAAAGGATAGTCTGTCTTATTGCACTAGGATCTACATATAACTCCTGGCTGCACATTATTTTAAACACAGGCCTTGGAAGTTTGTAGGTTTTACCTTATTAAAATAATGTGAAATCCCTTTTTTTTTTTTTTTTAATAAAAAAATAAAAAAAAACTTAAAAGAACACTTCAGACACCTAATCATTTAAACTTGCTGAAGTTTTTAGATAAACCCCCAATAAAAAAAAGAAAAAAAAAGAAAAAAGTTTTCATTTGGCGATTATATATCTACTAAACAGTGATTTTTTTATTTGGGCAGTGGAGTGTCATTTTAAGGGCAATCAAGACAATATTAGTGAAGTCATTTATGTTATAATACTCATACAAAAGTATTCTGCACTGTTGAGTTCCCACTAAATAGCAAGTAGAAAGATAAAAAAAAAAAAAGCAAAAATGCAAATCTTTTGCACGTTAGCTTCTGTGGGCTATGACTATTCTCTTCATAGCATACATAACAGATTGTATAGTTCCACAACCCCTGACCCTGATGTGCCATAGGACGCGTATCGCAGTAAATGGGAGGGGGGGAAAGGAAACATGACTCGTGTTTGAGATGGAGAAGGATGTTTATCGCAATTCTAATAAATTGTACTAATTTTAATTATTTTATTGGGTTGCTTTCACAAGAAAGCATCATACCTTCCCATTCACTAAAGAGTTTTAATGAAATATCAATAGCTGAAATTAGTACATATTAATTATTTTGTTACAGCTTTCTCCACTCCAGGTCTGGTACAACAAACTCTTGAACAGGGATCACCCTCTTCCTGCTACATTAGGACACTGAGATTTTTAATACATTTCCCCACAAAATTTCCTGAGTAGACTACAGAGGTTTTCTAAAACAAGTAATATAAAACAGAGCTAGCTCTTAAAAAAAAACAAAAAAACAACCAAACCACAAACTGCTGGGGGAAAAACACTCATAAGAAATCTGTAGGTTTTGCAGTGTTCATCAAAGCTCACCCAATCACTAAAATGCTTAGCAGTGGTTCCAACGTTCAAGGCACAATAACCATTCAGGTTTTCTCACTATTCCCATTGGCACAGAACTGGGAATTGCTTCAATCCTGGACTGTTTGCATGCACAGGATCAGCGTCATACAGGACAATGGAAGTACAAAGAAGTTATGCGACAATTGGCCATTGATAACAAACGAGACATCCAATGGTGCCATCATTATTCTGAAGTGTATCCATTTAAAATGTTGCATCTAAACAGCCACATTGTAACATTGCTGCGTTCATAAGAGGAGGGCATCATTACATCACCAGTTTGAAAAGTGCTGTTATAGTTTGGAGATATATAAGGATTGAACAATGCCCACTGTCCATAGTGTTGGGAGGCTATCCATGTTGGATAATGAGCACACCTGCTCTCAAGATGCATTGGGTTGTAACTCTCACCAACACTGTGGCTGAAAGTAATTGATACAAAAAACACACTAAGAGCAGGAGAGAGGGAGAGACAAATTTACAGCTCACAGTATGTTATGGAGTAAGCATCTTAAAGGGAAACTCCAGTGCCAGGAAAACAATCCTTTTTCCTGGCACTGCAGGCACCCTCTGCCTCCCACCTCCCATTCCAGGTAGCTGAAGGGGTGAAAACCCCTTCAGACACTTACCTGAGACCCCGCCGATGTCCCTCGGCGGTGGTTTCGGGTCGGCGTCGCTCCTCCCAGTAATCGCGTCAGCTGGTGGGTGAGACTGATCCCGCCCACCGGCTGAGGAAACCTAATGCGCATGCACAGCAATGCCGCGCATGTGCATTAGGTCTCCCCATAGGAAAGCATTGAAAAAGATTTTCAATGCTTTCCTATGGGAAATTGAGCAACGCTGGAGGTCCTCACACAACGGGAGGACGTCAAGCGACGCTTTAGCAAAGAAAATCTTTGCTATGAATCAGGAAGTGCCCTCTAGTGGCTGTCTAGTAGACAGCCACTAGAAGTGGAGTTAACCCTGCAATGTAATTATTGCAGTTTATATAAAAACTGCAATAATTACAGTTGCAGGCTTAAGAGTAGTGGGAGTTGGCATCCAGACCACTCCAATGGGCAGAAGTGGTCTGGGTGCCTGGAGTGTCCCTTTAACCAGTGTTGTTTATCGGTGTGATCTACAATGATAAGCACTTCTTTCTGATGAATGCAACTCCATAATATCACTATAATGCTGCTCAACCTTTCACACTCACCGTTTTGCCTCTGCTATTTAAACAATTCATTGTCACAGAGCAATCAGAACATTAAAAACCGTCCAATACTATTAAGTTTATAAAGATAAACACTGTACTTCATGTCTGTGTTCCAACACACATATACCATCTGCGGGTCCTTTGGCATTTTTTCTGGAAAATTAGAATGGTTCGAAGAACCAAAATGATAAATGATAAGTTCTGTAAAGAGAAAACGAGGACAAAAAAAAATACCTGATTGAGCAAGCCAATATCAGTCTAAAAATACTTGGCCAAAAACTGAAAGTTTAGAACTAAACGGTTGACTAGGACAGCGAAGGAGTGAAGTTCGTTTTCTTTTAGTTCTGTTCAGCATTACAGAATTCTCGGTTTTCTGTTTATGTTCTGCGTTTGGTCTCCTGACCTCCTTAGTCCTCTTAATAGAGAAGAATTCTCGAACCAGGTCTTCCACCTCCCACTTCTCCTGTGTGTCCCTGTTGCAGCAGTGCAGGGCGGCCGGGTCAATGGGATGTGCTTCAGTGTTAAAAACATACCCACCTGCCCCCAAGATGCACTCCCCGTAAGGTGTCACCACCAGATCGAAACTAGAACCTTCGTTATGGATGAAGTTGTCTGGGTCAAACAGCAAGTATAGGTACTTGATAGTCTCAGCCAGGAAGAAAGATTCCATTCGGTTATCTAGCTTGTGATCTCGGACATCTTTAATCTACAAAACAAATACAGCGCTGGTGATAAATCCTAAGCAAGTAATAGACATTTTATTGGGAATAAACCATAAAGCAATAAAGAGTGTGTATTCCCAGTGTCTGTAATGATAAGGCAGCAAGTGAGATGTTTGAATAAATTATGCATTTGGAAAGGACACTGAACATGGAGTCTTTTTATTCCTTGTTATCAGTTTAGAATCAACAAAAAACAATTCATGTTTATACAGCATGTATTGTAGATAAGTGATGGTGTTATAAAATGAAAATAATATTAAAAACTGTTAATACCAATAAAACATGTCTGTTCTTCGTTAATATGATAATAGGTGTGCAGCAAGTATCTAAACAGGGTCCAGTTTTAAGAGGAGGTAATATAACAGGAATCAAATCTAATCAATGCAGTACTTTTTAAGTCTATTCTGTTGTAGAATTATAGAATTCTTGAAATTATCTAAGCTAATGCTTTGTCAGGAAGAAATGTGCTGAATAATAAAATGTGTATTTACTAAAAGAACCTTGAAGCTAACAATACTAACTACTCAAAATGGCTGCCAAAGCACCCCTCCCATCGAGTGAACACCTCGTGCTAACAAGATGGCGCCTACATCTTGTGTCCACTCCCGTGTCAAGGATGACATCACCTCTTGATAGGAGGGTATCTAACTAACCACTTAACACCTGGACCAATCAATAGTGTCTATTTGCTGTTATCTTGAATTCTTCAGTGATGTAATAATGCCTTTATAAGGGTCTGCGCACCCATTTTCTGGTAGAAGCCATTAAACTTCTCCGAAGTTCTTTCATTAACCTGAACTCTGTGTCTCAGTGTGAATTTACTTCTGCGTGCACGCAACTTTATTATCTTTAATTTGGACAGGAACAGATAGGCATTCAAACTAATTGGTTTGCAGAAAATAATCTACTACAATTCTATAAACCATGTTACATATGTACATGGTTTAGAGAATATAATAAAAACATTTATTTGTGGATATATTTCAAGGGGTCTATGAACTTGGAATGAGGGGGATACGGTTTTATTTTTACTACTTTCTAGCTGAAACTTAACATTTATTTAATTTCTGAAACTAATTAAAACAAAAAAAACAAAAACAAAAACAAAGCAGTGTAAGCTGTACATGTGACACACTAGTCAAAATCAGACATAATAAAGTTGCTGCAAATATCTAAAAAATATCACAGCTTTGTGCAACATTATGGTAATTATTAAATTTATGGACTTGTCGGCAGAAAGTCTAATTCCTGCTCTAGCGTGGCACTGTCTTGTATAGGAGTAGTCTTAGCAGAAATATCTATTTTCAATAATCAGGTATTAGTAAGATCAGAATTTCACTTGCTCTCTTTGGCCGGTGAATATATGGATTATATAATATATAACATACAGTGTTTCCTTGCACTCACGCTTGTAGACAGTTGTAAGCCGGGTGCTTGTAATCCAGGGAAAAATTGCATATGGTAAAGTAGTGATCAGCACTCTCGGACTTTTGTTGAGTTTAAAACTTACAGTTTATTGAAATTCCATTTAAAAGATCAACGTTTCAGTTCCTATCTGGAACTTTCATCATAAAAAAATATATATATATAAAAAATAATAATATATAAAAATAAATAAATGTAATTAGCCATAAACCAGCAAACCCTGAGCTAATTGATTGGCATTATTTATTTGCCACATTTTAATTTTCAAGGTAAACCTGCTTCAGAAAAAAATGATATCAACAGCTATTAAAACAGGGGGTAGATGCCTAGCCATATGTAATCCACAATATATCATACTGTGTTATATTAACCACCACCTAGCTCTCTTCCTGCATTGTCTGTACGTATTTAAATGACATTTAAAAAAAAAAAAGACACTTACGGTTGCAAATCCACAGTCCACTTTACTAATCTTCTCGATGGACTCCACAGCATCTCTCCCCAGCTCTAGAAGGGTGGGGTCTCCTGTTGCCTTATACAGATACATGGCACTTTCAATAAGCTCTGTAAGGCAGAGTACACGTCAGTGCCACACACACAGATTCCATGACTGGACAAAGAATTTAAAGTTAACTAACACCAACAATTACAAATATATCATAATGTCTAAATAAGTATGTATTATAAATATTATAGAATATATATATATATTATTATTATTATACATATTAATATGCATATTTCCATGATTTTACTTAATATGTATTGGACCAATTACTTGCTTAGTAATTGATGGTAGTTAACCAATGGGAGGGATAATTGATCTGAACAGCAAGTTACAGCTATCTTTGCTGCGAGATAGGCCGTTTCAGCAAAGTATTTTAACATACATATGGTTTCCCAAAAGTACAGCCGATGTGTATGCTGTTTAAATATTTACAGTGTTCTGGTGCCCAAAAGGGAAACAGCAGATATCTGTTAGGGAAAACAGGGGGTTAACCTTCACTTATATGTGGTAAACTGTAAAGTAATGTGATCCCTGGATGCTACAACCGCCAGGGGTCACAACGGAGGTCCCTAAAGGATCTGATCCATATGTACAGTTCGTAGAAATTAAAACATAAATTTTATTGAGACTTTGAATCCTAAAATCTTGGTAAGAAAAGATAACATGTCATTAAGATACACGAAAATGGAGAACAAGGATAGGTGCCCAAAATAAACGGTATCGCTGTATAAACCAACTATAATTAGTATAGGCTGTCCTAGGGAACCTAGATGAGCTATTGCTTATGTACTAGTGGCCATCAATAACAGGGTACTGGGAGTCTGAGTGGGGGGTGGATTATATACAATGGGGGGATAATATACAACATTTACAACTATCTACAGTAGGTGGTACTAAATCTCCAGCTACAAGGCTTGGAAGGATGGACGCCCTGTTGCTAGACTTATAGATAGCCTAATCCTGCTCCATCAAGCTATATATAACATAGCGTACAGAAATGAAAGGGACCATATCAATCCTCATATCCCTAGTATCGTACTCGTGATATCCTTTCAGTTATTATTGCCTGCTGAATGTGGCCACAGAGTGTGTTGCAGTATTCATAGTATATAGCTTGATGGAGCAGGATTAGGCTATCTATAAGTGTTATTGATGGCCACTAGTGCATGAGCAATAGCTCATTTAGGTTCCCTAGAGAGGAGCCACGGTTGCATTGGATAGTACAGCCTATACTAATTATAGTTAGTTTATATGGCGATAGCGTTTATTTTAGGCACCTATCCTTGTTTTCCGTTTTCGTGTATCTTAATGACATGTTAGATTTTCTTACCAAGATTTTAGGATTCAAAGTCTCAATAAAAGTTATGTTTTAATTTCTATGAACCGTACATATGGATCAGATCCTTTAGGGACCTCTGTTGTGACCCCTGGCGGTTGTAGCGTCCAGGGATCACATTACTTTACAGTATGCTGTTTAAAGCAGAATTGTGCAGGTTAGAAGATACTAAATTATCTAGTCCACAGCTATTGGCGTCTTATAGCATGTTCACCTCTAAACACAACCCTTTAAATATACACAGAACTTCTAAAACCCCCATCATATATACTGAAAATATTTAAAATGGAAGCTGCTGTTCATAAATGGAGTGCAGTTTGTTGCTTGTTTTTCTTCTACTCTAGGTACTCTAACTCCCATCAGGCTTATTCAATGTCCAGCGCTGCTGCCTGGCGACCGGTTATACTGTATCAACTTTCTGGTGGTAATGACTCTTTAAACCACAAACAAAGCAGTTCAAATTAGTCTGCAATTAAATTCTGGTTTCTTATTACAGCTTAAAGGACCACTGTGATAAGACGCCAGCGTCCATAGGAAAGCATTGAGAATGCTTTCCTATGGACTGGCTGAATGCGCGCGGCTCTTGCCGCGCATGAGCATTCAGCCAGTGATGGAAGAAGAGGGAGGAGAGGAGGAGGAGAGTTCCCTGCCCGGCGCTGGAGAAAGAGGTAAGTTTAACCCCTTCCACCCCCTAGAGCCTGGCAGGAGGGGCACCCTCAGGGCACTATAGTGCCAGGAAAACGAGTATGTTTTCCTGGCACTATAGTGGTCCTTTAACAATGACATGTTTACATTAGCTTGGATTAGGATACTAGCAACATTCTATTATTGAAACTACTGTAGAAAAACTTCCATCTCCATTCACATTGGGGAATAAGCCATTTAAAGGAACACTCAGGATTCAGAAGTAAGTTATTTGCAGGGTATTGATACATGCTTGACTTTAACAATAGCAATAGAATTTCAATTAATGCAATATATGTGATTTCTGTATCAATCTGTAAGATATTTTGCTACTATCCCAGCAACTTGTCTTTCTCCCTGCCAAGTTCACTGATTTCCATTTTTGGTACACTGGAAGTCCATGTTGTTGCTATATTGGGGAAGTATTCATCCCTTAAAGCATTGTATTTAGCACAGTACAAGAGAAAGCGTGTCTCAGTCCCACTTTGGCTGTTTGAGAAGTCCATTAGGAATTGTGTCTGTAGCCCAGGTGATGGTTATAGACACTGTACCTAGTGAGTATTTGTCTGTGTGAGGTTAGTGAAGAACTCTGCAAATCTGTACTCTCTATGAAAGGCTTAATAACACTCACAGCGTCATTCACTTTAGGAAGGCGGTGTAAGTCACACGCAGGGAGGTGTAACTAGGCCTGCATAAACAAAATTATGTATCTCCAAAATGGCAGAGAATTAAGCAGTCAGACTGCAGGGGCATGATCTATACACCAAAACTGCTCTATTAAGCTACAGTTGTTTTGGTGACTATAGTATTCCTTTAAGGCCAGAGTGGCTGTACTGAAAGCATAGTTGACTTTGAGAATTTTCCCAGTTTGGCTATTTTGAACTTCAAGGGACACTATAGTCACCAGAACAACAACTTAAAGTAGTTGTTCTGGGGTGTGTATAGTATGTTCCTGCAGGCATTTTAATGTAAACAGTGCTATTTCCGAAAAAAAGGCAGTGTTTACATTGCTGTCTAGTAACACCTCTAGTGTCATTCATTCAAAAGCGCTTCTTGGGTCAGTGCTGCAACGTGCAGCGTCTCCACGCTCTGTACTGAGGCGCTGAACGTTCCTCAAAAGAGATGTATCGATTCAATGCATATCTATGCGGAGATGGTGACTGGTGCAGTGCAGCGTTTTGCCATGCATGCACAATAACCTCCCATTGCTTTCCTATGGGAAAATAGTGGATTGCCTGAGATCGCCAAGTTTGATGATCTAAGTCAAAGAGGCGGAGCGGGGGCAGGACCAGCCACGACAAGATCTGGGCAGCACTGGAAGAAAGGCGAGTAAACTCACATTTTACTTTGCTGACAGGGGGCTGGGGACCTAAACATTGCTATTAGAACTATAGTTTCAGGAGACATTTGTATTCCTGACACTATGGTGTTCCTTCAAATTTGAAATTCACCTTGAACCTTTGTGTATAACCCTGTCAATCATGCTCTGCTGGCCCGTCTGTTTCCAATATTTGGTGTACCTCTAATCCAGAGCTGCTCATAGTTTTTTCAGCTCTGTTCTCTCGCAGGTCAGACATATACTTCCTGAATAACGTCTTATATAGATTGTTAAGTGCTTGTAACATTCCTTAAATAAGTAGATATATGCAGCACAAACAATCAAACCAGTCACCATAGAAATAAATAGGACCAAAGTCAGCCACCCTACCAATATTTTTTACTTATTTGTCAAACTGACAAAAGAGGGCTTTAAAGCAGTGCTCCTAGCTCCACCTACAAACCCTGTCAATCAGAAATTACACTTCCTGACACTCAAGCAGAGAGCGCTGGTGTCAGAAGGACTTGTAGGTGCTCTTCCCCAAAATGAAGTGCTTGCATGGCCAAAGAATGACCGGTCTCTGTAGTGACAGACAAACACACATGGACACCAGCAGATTCATACATCACAGACACCAGGATAATCTCTGGACTTGCAATCACTCATTCCTGGAAAGCTCTACCTGAAAGCCCCCTTATATCAGCAATGCTATACCAACTCAGTAGTATGATTTGGAATGGCAGCTGAAAGTATAAATCCCGTTTCTCTGATGGACAGGGATGGTAGGTGAAGCTACAAGCTATGCTTTATAGTCCTGCTTTGTGATTTTGACAAGTTAGTTAAACAAAAAGCTGGGGTGGTATCCTAACAATATAGCCCCTTTAATAAGCTGACGTTGTCAAATTTATTGCAAGGCAAGCACTGGACTAAGCCTTCCCCAGAAATAACAGCCTGTTACCACCATCCAAAACTGGACAGATAAAGTGACATTTTCACAACACTTTCTCTTTAACTTGCTTCAATTTGTAGCAGGAAGAGACCCTCCAACAATAGATTTTGTTGGTCTCCAAGTCCAAATCCTACAATTCTCAAAAAATGCAATCAATCATATCTTAGCAATATCCGTTTCAGTGATGGGACAGATATCCTAAACAAATCTAAAAGTCAGCACTCTGCATACTGGACATACCTGGTCGAAGAGGGTAACCTTCTCTTTTATCCACAGTGGATCCTTGAGGAATATTGTAGAACTCAGGCAATCCTCCAAACTGCTTCCACACCGTATAATAATTGTGAAATGTTCTCATGGCATTTCCAATGTCTCCCATCAGGCTCTGCAGGACAAAAAGTATGACATGAATACCATTCTCTCTATGGAACCCCATCATTCCTGCCCACATTCAACTTCTTGTGGAGCCCAATAAGCTTTTTGGTCTGCATCATAGTGCTCAACATAATACACAATAATATTTACTAAAAAGCGACTATCAAGCTGTGATCATCTAGATGTTAGCCAACGTTACAACTCCCATCGTACACTATCTTTTGTCCTGCTAGAACATTTCCTTTCTCCCAACTTCTTTTTTTACACTAATAACCATGTTTTCTAGGAGCTAACAATATCTGTCTGTATTATAGAGTTGCTCTGCAATGAACTCAGTAGTGGACCGTTAACTAAAGTAAAGGGCAGTACACACAGAAAGATGGGAATATTTTTTTACATATTTATGACGTTAGGATACTTTGCGACACATGCAACATTATACGTTATGTTTGTTACATTTACAGTTCAAGGAATCTGTTAAAAATATTGACAAGTCTAAGTGCTTCCTTTGTCTTCTCTTCATAAAAAAAAAAAATCACTGAGCATTAAAACATTGTTTAAACGATAGACTTTGTACTTGTTCTAAAGTGCCAATGCAAATTATATATAAATGGCTATTGACAGATCATAAAGACACCTAAACCGGTCCCCCCCCCCCCATACTTCCTGTAACACACATCAAAACAAACCAAGAGTACGTCCGTTGTTGGACTTTTGAAACGTTGGATAATTTCTGTTGCCATCACGCACTGAATAGTGGGGGAGAAACTTGTGCATTAATTACAATAGGTGCATTAGAAAAGCATCCGATAAACATCGCAGTTACCTGCAATCCTGGCCAGAAAGCCTCTAAAGACTGAAATATTGGCATAGAAACCGTGCCTTTGTACATCTGTACCCACACATACCAGTCGTCATACTTGGTGAAGTTCTTGATGGCTTTGTTGTATTCTGAAGAGTAAAATTGTTTTAGATAAAACATCAAACAAAGCAAAATAAGATATTCCTGAAATCAATTGCAGGACATTACAGGCCTGACATGGGCTGGACTTGAAGAAAGTACAATGTAAATGTAATTCAGTTTTTAGCTCTTAATTCTATATCTACATCGATTTACAAAGTTGAAAGGTACAAACAATGCTGAATTCCTTTAATATTTTTAGCTGATACAGTAATTTTCTTTGTTTTACTGAAGTGGTCTGGGTGCCAGGTCCCTCTAGTTTCAGAGAAACGGCTATGTTTACACTAGGGTTAACCCAGCCTCTGGTGGCTCTCTCACTGACAGCCACTAGAGGCGCTTTCGCGATTTTCACTGTGAAAATCACAGTGAGAAGACGCTGGACGTCTATAGGAAAGCACCGAGTAATGCTTTCATATGGGCTGTTTGAATACATGCGCGCGCATTCGGATCTGATGTCGGCAGGGGGTGGAGAGATCCCCAGCACAGAGGGAGCCTGGCGCTGGTGAAAGGTAAGTGGCTGAAAGGGGTTTTAACCCCTTCAGACCAGCAGGAGGGGGGCCCTGATGGTGGGGGGACCTAATGACCCTATAGTGCCAGGAAAACGAGTTTGTTTTCCTGGCATTATAGTGCTCCTTTAGGCGTATTATTATATTGAAATTAGGACCTACAGGATATTATTTGAATTTCAACTTAAGTAAGCATTCATGTTTGAAACTGGATGCTCTTACCCAGAAACATGGACATCATCTCTTCATCCTGTAGCAGAATTGCCCCTTTAACGAGATATTCAAAATAAGAATCCACACCAGCCCCTATCCCGGCATCTTGGGCCACCCATTTGGATGTCATAACATCTATATGGTTTCCTACCTGTGAAAGCAGAAGAGATTATGTGAAAATCCAAGCAAGGAGTTTGTTTAACTTACTAAAACCTTTCTCCATGATATGTAGTGTGACTGAATACCAGGGAGTTTTTTTCCCATGTCAATAAGGCAAACTTACAGCAAATATTATAAGGAAATATATTTTACTTTGATTTAGAGCTAAAAAAAAAAACACAAAAAAAACTATTAATTGGGAAGATGCTAACTCTTCTGGTACTCCATTTATCCTGTGAAGGCAAAATACATAGTAGACACAATGCAAGATTTAGAACGTGATATCTCAGACACAAAAGGGACACAACATTTTTTATACCTAGTGACATTGCTGCAGCTGCTATTGTGGGAACATAATTTATTAGCCAAGATTAACAGCTGACCCACCAACACAATTAATGCCATCCAAATATAAACAGAATTTGTATGGCTAAAGTGTAACTTGTTTTTTCTCGAGTTTAAATACAATATTAGTTTTTTTTTGACTTACCAGCCCAATTTCAGACCGGCTTTCCCATAATCCTTTGAGTGCCCGTCTTGCCACTGTCTCAAACTCTGGATCCCCAGTAAGGCGACTCAGTGTTGCAAACTCAATTATAAATGTCCCAACTCCAGCTGTACAGGTCACTGGTGTTTCAGTAGGGTTAACACCATTCAAAAGGTTCACAGTCCCATAAGGCATCCCAGTATTCGTGTTAAAGGCTGCAAAACCATTCGTGAAAATCATTAACAACCTTTCTGCTTGAAACGGTCCTTTATGAGTACTAACTACAATAGACCCCTTAAGAATGCCATATACTCTTAACATTAAAATAATTTAGCAGTATTTATTTTTTTACGCTGTTAATATGAGATTTGCCTTTTGCACACCTGGAAGGAGTTTTCGAGCTGCTTCTACCGCCATATCAAGGAGGGGACCAGAGCAAGGCCATCCTGGATCCAAATCTAGGCCCGCTCTCTTGGAGAGGAGATGAGCAGACAGGAGACCACCTACCACTAAAAATATCAATAATCATGAATGTGTCTATAAAATATTAAATAAAAAAACCATTACAAAGGAAAGAAAACTGGGGAAACATTGAATGGTGAGACAGAGAGAACATGTAAGAACGACAATCATGTAAAAGTAAAATAAAATTATTGTCACATCGGACAGATTTGTATCCACTTTAGGACTGTAAAAATTTCTCAACAGCTTATACTAAAAAATAGTATTGTAATGTGTCTTAAAATGTACCATACGTAGAAATATTTATGTGAAAGTTAAACAGAGATTGATCTTAGAGGCTGACCTCGAATGTTGGTCTCGAACACAGAGGCATTGACATCAATATCAAAATCCAATTTTTCCTGTAACACGTTTACAACTCTCTGGAACTCTGTTTTATTGCCAATGATCTGCAGATTATACAAGAACATAGCAAATTATGAAAAAACTGCAAGACTTGTATTTAGCATGTATTGTAATTCATTATGACACTAGCCCACAAAAATCACTGTTCCTTCCACTCACCACTGATTGGTCATAATGAGAGAGGTATGACCAATCAGCTGAGAGATCCAGGAGCCACCCCTGTGTGAAAACTCTTTCCTGTCTGCCAACTGATACATTAGTTATCAAGGCCCCCTCCTGTAGTGCAGAAGGGGTTAATAACCCCTTATATCACTTACCTGGGTCCAGTGCGGATGTCCCCCAGTGCTGGCTCAGCTCCGCCCACGCTCCTCTGAGGCAGACCTAATGCGCATGCGCGGCAATGGCCGCGCTCGCATTACAATTTCCCCAAAGGAAAGCATTATTCACTGCTTTCCTATGGGGATTCCGGTGATGCTGGAAGTCCTCATGCATAGTGTGAGGACGACCAAAAGTTGTCTAAGCACCCGGAAGTCCACTAGTGGAGAACTTAACCCTACAGGTAATTAATTTAGTTTATAAAAACTGCAATAATTACATGCTCAGGGTTAAGAATGATGGAAGTTTGCACCCAGACCACTTCAATGAGCTGAAGTGGTCTGGGTGCCTGCAGTGTCCCTTTAAGCTTAAAATTGCAAAGCTGTGACTACAGCTGAACGGTGTTGTTTTTCTTCCAGATCAGCTCTTTCTGTCAAATTTTAATTCAGCATAATTCAGTTGACTAGTTTTACTGGAAACCCCACAAGTAACTTTAACTACGAATTGATTGGCATTTTACATAAATCTGTCAATATTCCCCAATTCCAGTAATCTTTGTTGCTGTACTAGTTTTGTTTACATTGCAAGGAATCACTGGAAGCAGAAATAGTCCGGGTCTGGGGGAAAAACAGATCAGGAAGAACGTAGAGCTAAAATGTGAGGGTTGTGAGACATAATTTGGGGGCTTAGGGGCACAGGGAAGCCTAGAGATATGAAGGAAGTTGAGAGACAGGAGAGCACAAAGAGACAGAAGGTTTGTCAGAAACAAAAAAGGTTGTAAATAAACATGCTTGAAAAAAAACGTGCTAGCATGAGTAATTTAATATTTATCTATAATTACCCATTGAATTTTCCAACAGAAATATCTAACAAATTTTCTAGGATATATATCATCTATACAAATTGACGGGCAACTTATGAAACGAAATTTGGAGATGGAGAAAGTATGTCCTGTATACAAAGGATAATCAATGAGTTTCAAAGTATATCAAATAAAGTATTTGACAAAAAATTCAGGTAGAGTGAATTGTACAGAATTGCAAAATTCCAATGCTAGCTTTATAGCTCTTAAAAGGGACCATGTAGCCAGTATAACTGCTACATCTCAGCAAAGTGATTATAATGTCTGGAGTCTCCTGGGCCATCTTTCCAATCAGCGTTAAATGTTTTTTAATGATTTAATGCTACACGAGAGTTTCTAGTAGCCACTGGTTGGGTTAATGAGGAAGCATTAATACCCTATAGCACCAGTGATTGACTGAGTGTCAGTTGACCATTTTCAGAGTGCCAAATCAGGAACGAATCACTATGGCTAGAAGGAAGTGTGGAATATCTGACTTAGCCACACCTCCAGTGTGGGCAGGTCTATGGGCACCCATAGACCCTCATTCAGTGGTAAACTGCTTGAAAATGGTTTAAAACTAAATTGAGGGACAGTGCCAGCAGACTCCAGGCACTATAAGCACTTCAGTAAGATTAAAGTGTTATACTGCCTACAGTGTCCCTTTAAGATGAAGTAAATCAACCTAGAGTGCAAAGTATAGCTACACATCATAACCATGGGAAAATCTGCAAATAATGGCCACTCGTAAGTGTTTTACTTTAATAATATTTTAATGCATTTTTGCTACAAATTTACACTTACTAGTAAAGTATCCAGAGCATCAATTAATGTCAAGGAAAAACTGCAACAGAAAATAAGTTATTTAATAATGACAATAGATGGGAAAAGGCAATTATATATATATAAATAATAATAAAATAATACGAATATGGTGTACTTTGACTTTTTTTAACAGAACTTTGCAGTGGAATTATGAAATCCATGTGCATGTACAGGATGGTGTCATGATTCATGAATAAAGTAAGTTATTATACACAACTATAACACCTAAAATGTTCTTGAAGATTTAAAAAAAAAAAAAAAAAACTGATTTTACTAAAGGAGCACTATAGGGTCAGGAACAAAAACATGTATTCCTGACTCTATAGTGTTAAAACTACCATCTAGCCACCCTGGTCCCCTCATGCCTCCCTAAATATTGTAAAATCTTAATTGTATTTAAGTCTGGAGCTGCTTGCTTTGTCAAAGTTTCCTTTAGACCTGCCCACTGCCTGCTGACATCAGCAGAAGTGGTAGCCTGATTCCAATCACAGTGCTTCCCCATAGGATTGGCTGAGACTGACAAAGAGGCAGATCAGGGCAGAGCCAGCATGATTCAAACACAGCCCTGGCCAATCAGCATCTCCTCATAGAGATGAATTGAATCAATGAATCTCTATGAGGAAAGTTCAGTGTCTGCATGCAGAGGGAGGAGATACTGAATGTTTGGATGCATTTTAGGCAGCCATGACCCAGGAAGGATCTCTAACAGCTATCTGAGGAGTGACCAGTGAAGTTATCACTAGGCTGTAATGTAAACACTGCATTTTTCTCTGAAAAGACTGTTTACAGCAAAAAGCCTGAAGGTAATGATTCTACTCACCAGAACAAATTCAATAAGCTGTAGTTGTTCTGGTGACTATAGTGTCCCTTTAATAATTGCATGAATCAGAAGATAAATGTATCAATTTCTAACAGCCATTTCAGAGTAGGCTTGTGCAATCTTTAGGTAATTATATATTATAATCTATACATTAGGTGTTTTTGCCCACTCTGTTATGTACAAGCCTATTAAATGCTTTTTATTTTTTTGCGTGTCATTTATGCCACATACTCATACACTCTGGCACGTATATCTTTCCCTTGTAGTCATGTACTCTGTTATGTTTTATATTGACCCATTACCTGCCCCAGGTATCCTGGCCATCACAAGTCAGAGGTCGTAACTCATCATACGGGTAGGCATTATCCAGATAATTGTTGTAAGCATGATAGAACATGGCTTTCACCCGATCCCTACAGATAAAACAAGATATTTTACAATTACGAATGGCTAAGAAGGTTGTGCGATACAAAAACTATATACCTTGACAGACTTGACATGTTATGTGAAACTTAGGATAATATTTAGCAATGTGGTCTTGAAGGAGTTAAATGTGAAACCCAGGTTATTTACCATTTTTATTTTTTTTTTATTTTACCAATGCTTGGCTACTTTTAACAAAAGAGCAGAGTGAGATAGTCCCATTATAATATAGTTCGCCAATGTCACTTCACATGGGGTCCTTTCACAAGACGCGCATAGTAGCTGCATCTCTTCCACATATTCTCCCTCCATAATACAATGTCCCCATAATACTCTCATGTTCTCTTCTGGTACTTCCCCCTGTGTTCCTTCTTTTTCTCAGGTAGAGAGGGAGGCTCTGGGGGGCTCCCATCTTTTAGATGGGGACACTTTTTGTGGCCCCAGAGTGACAGATGCAAAGTATGTTGTGCTCAAATTGAGCGCTGCCTCAGTCATTTCAATGACTATTGCTAGAACATTGTGTGAGTAGGGTTAAATCCCTGCTCATAGCAGGGAGATCCAGGTATCGATCGATGCCTGCTGTTCCCCTTTTTCAGCTGGGGCCACATTTAGTGGTTCCAAGCTGACTAATGAACTGTATGCAATGTTTAAAGTGAGCAATGCTTTCAATCTTTTAAATCAATTAAAGGACCACTATAGTGCCAGGAAAACATGCTTGTTTTCCTGGCACTATAGTGCCCTGAGGGTGCCCCCACCCTCAGGCTCCCACTCCCGCTGGGCTCTAGGGGGAAGAAGGGGTTAAACTTACCTCTTTCTCCAGCGCCAGGCGGGGAGCTCTCCTCCTCCTCTCGTCACCATCTGAAAGCGCATGCGCGGCAAGAGCCGCGCGCGCATTCAGCCAGTCCATAGGAAAGCATTCACAATCACAGTGAGAAGCGCGGAAGCCCTCTAGCGGCTGTCAATGAGACAGCCACTAGAGGCTGGATTAACTCATAGGTAAACATAGCAGTTTCTCTGAAATTGCTATGTTTACAGCAAAACGGGTTAATCCTAGCTGGACCTGGCACTCAGACCACTTCATTAAGCTGAAGTGGTCTGGGTGCCTATAGTGGTCCTTTAAGGGGCTGGGCAGTGGTGATTTACAGCTGCTAGAACAGGGGTAGGCAACCTTTTAGTAGTACTGTGCCAAAACAGGATTTTGAAGTCCCTTCGGCGTGCTGATCCTATTTGTGTTAAACAAAGTGTGTATGTTGCCGTATTCTGCTTGTGTTTTTTATGGGTGCTGCAGTTGCTTTGTAGCATTGTGTTATATTGTACAGTATTTGTTCATGAGTTGTTTGTGGTATTGTGCATGAGACATGAATGTGGGCTGTATATGGGGGCTCCTTGAGTAATTGTGTCTCTATATGATGTATCACATTGTGTGTTTGGTGGTAAGTTTATGTGTTGCGCTAATTTCAGTATTGCATGTGAGAGGCTGATTGTGGGGTTGTCAGTGTTGTTGTCTTTGTGGGACTGCGTGTTTGTGTATGGGCTGTCTGTGTTATTTTTTTGAGAGTGAGGCTTATTCTTCAGCTCCGTGTATATCTAGCAGTGTGGGTAGCTTTCCTGGATCCAGTGGGAACTAGGCTGACCAAGTACAGGTCAAGTGCAGGAGCCGCGATAGCTGCTGTGGGCTGCTCGGCTCCAGTGCTGATTCCCATTCACAAGTGCAGTGAGGAACTGATCTGAGATAAATTAAGGATTGTCCCTAACCACCTGTAATGACCAGCCTGTTTGAACTAGCAGATATCTAAAGTCCCACTGGGACTTTTGATAGGGCAGAGCCTGTTTGTCTCTGGCAGCCTTGAGTGCCGTGCATGGCACACGTGCCATAGGTTGCTGACTCCTGTGCTAGAACCTCAAGTGAAACTTACAGGGCCTGAACAGAGCCTGACTGGGTCTCAAAACATGGCACCAGGCCAATTCTGATCGGTGCTGGGATTTGACAAACTGCCCAGCACTAATCAGAGTGTATTAGGCATGCCTGAATTTCAGCATTATAGCGACATTCCTGTAATGCAGAAAAGCTTGTAGATGGCAGCAACATACTGCTGATGTCAGTATTGACATTAGGAGAGGCTTTTTTTAGAGTTAGGATTATGATTAGGGTGAGTTGTAGGGTTAGGCAAGGGTTAATGCTGGTTTAGGGTTAATGTAGGGTTAAGGTTAGGGCTGGCACAGTGTTAGAGTTTGTGTACGCATAGAGTAAGGGTTACCATTTGTATTTACATTACATTTAACAATCAGCACCATGAATCTATTTTGAGTTCTTATTACAATTATTTATATAGCACCAACATATTCTGTAGCGCTGTGCAATAGGTGAACAAGACAAATACTTAATTCTAACAAATCATGATCCTATACTAGAACAGGGGTAGGCAACCTCCGGCACTAGTGCCATGCACGGCACTCAAGGCTGCTAGAGCCTATCAGGAGTCCCAGTGAAACTTCAGATTTCTGCTAATACGAAAAGGTGGTGAAGGACAATCCTCAATTTATATATTGCAGCACGTAGAGGAAGTGACCTCAGATCACTTCCTCCCAGCACTTGTGAATGGGAATCCACACTGTGGTAGAGCAGCCGACAGCGGATATTGCAGCTCCTGCTCTTCACCTGTACCTGGCCAGCCTGGTCTCCACTGGAACCCAGGGAAGCCACCCACACTGCTAGATTTACACAGAAATGCACAATAACCCTCCCCTCATACAAATAATATGAACAGCTCACAAACAAACATGCACACAACCCCACATGCAGCCTCTCACATGCAATACCCCAAACAGCCCACACACACTACCAAACACACAATGTGACATATCCATCCACACACACAATTCCACAAGCATTCCCCATACACAGCCCACATTCATAGATACACGATACCACAAACTACTCCTGAACATATACAATATAATAGCTCATATACGCACAAATACAAAGCAATTACAATATAAATAACACAAGCAGAAAACGGCAGCATACAGACCTCAATTTTAAAAACTAGGACTGACACGCTATGTGACATCACAATCCTATATCGGCACGGTGCTGCTAAACGGTTGCCTACCCCTGTACTAGAACAATATACAGGGTAATGGCCAAACGATCTAAAATCTTTTATTTATTTATTTTTAAAACAATCTTTAAAAAGGTTGCACTGGATGTGTCAAAATTAATACCAGCAGAAATATGTAAAAATAAAAGTTTTTTTTTTTCAACCCACTTTTTTCTATTTTAATCACCCTAAATGTTAAAGTATACATATAGGATATTAAATCCTTTTTAAAATACTGGGGGGGAGGGCATTTAAAGAGAAACTCTTAAATTAACATTTTTACAAACACACAGAGAAAATCCTAAGTTTTGTTTTTTAGTTCAAATTTGTACAATTGTGTCCTTAATGGGTTATAAAAGCAGTCAGTGTTTTTATGTTTTTTTGACAATGTATTATCCCCCTTACTAGCAGTGCCAGCTCTCTCACACTTTGCACAGTGGGAGTTATACCATGTCCTTACCTGTACTGAGCCATGTCCTGCTCAGTGATGTGACCCTCCTTGGCATTGTGACAGGGCAGCAGGACACTGAGGACTCCAAGACACACAGGGTAAAACAGGGAATTCATGGGCTGCAGCTCCAAAACAGCCTCACAGCAGCCTGACACATGGCCACAGCCTACTTCCTACTCAGCCACAGCCAGCGGGGCGCTGTGATTGGCTCACACAGCCCATCTGCTGCTTGCCTATTTTTCATTGGTCAGAACTGGTGACACAGCTTAAGAGCAGGACGCCATATTGGTTGCTGGCAAGCCCTGGTCTCCCTTGTGTATTTTATAACCTGTCTCTCTGTTGTGCACTTGCACTGGTGGTAGTGGATATTCCTGTGTTATTAGAGTGGCAGGGTGTGATCATTTGGGGTGTTTTAATTGATGTCCAGTTATTACACCAATACTGTATATTTCTTATGTTGGTATTTTATATTTAACCCCTTCAGGACTGTTTTGGCCATGATTTAGGTTAAGGACCTCTTTTAACACTTTTGTGGTGTTTGTGTTTAGCTCTAATTTTCTTCTCTCTCTCATTTACGGTTCCCATACAATTTATATATTGGGTTTTTTTCCAGGACAAAAGGGGCTTTCTTTACATACCATTATTTATATCATGTCATAAAATTTACTTTAAAAAAAATAATAAAATATGGTGAAAAATTGAAAAAAAAAACATGTTATTTTACTTTTGCTTGAAAACTCTTTTACTTGCCTACGAAAGCTAATGAAAAAAACTGCTAAATAGATTCAAAATTTTGTCCTGAGTTAAAAACACCCAGTGTTTGCGTGCTTTTTTGTTGTTGCAAGTTATAGGGCTATAAGTACAAGTAGGAAATTGCTGTTTCAAAATATATATATTTTAAATTTATCAATAGTGACATTGTAACACTTTTATCTGTCATAAATCTCTGAATCACACCTCACACGTACATAATTTTTTTTTAAAGTAGACAACCCAGGTTATTCAATATGGGGTATGTCCAATCTTTTTTAGTAGCCACTTAGTCACAAACACTGGCCAAAGTTAGCATTTATATTTGTTTGTGTGTGAAAATTGCAAAAAACTAAATTGAACGTTAATTTTGGCCAGTGTTTGTGACTAAGTGGCTACTAAAAAAAGACTGGACATACCCCATTTGCAATACCTTGGGTTGTCTTCTTTTGCAAATGGTATGCCATCATAGGGGTAATTCTCATTCCTGGGCTACCATACGCTCTCAAAAGGCAACATAACCAACCTGGCAATTTTCAATGTAAAAATATTTGACCCTGTAACTTTCAAAACCGCTATAAAATCTGTACATGGGGGGTACTGTTATACTCTGGAGACGTTGCTGAACAGAAATATTAGTGTTTCAAAACAGTAAAACGTATCACAACAATATCTTCAGTGAAAGTGCCGTTTGTGTGTGAAAAATGCAGACAGTCCCTGTGCAGGAAGATACATAGGCACCTATTGTGACCATGTGATCGCTCTGTTGAGTGATCACACGGCCCGCGGGGTCCTAATTGGCTGCAGGCAGTCTCCCCACACCTGGAGCAACGCCGGTGATCGGGTAAGTACATCTTACCGTTATGACGGTTCAGGACCGTCAGCAGTCGGGAAGGGGTTAAACAATAAGACCTTGCTGTATATTAGCTATTTCTGACAAAGCACAGGGTTTATTACAATTAGTACTTCACAGAAGCTTGCTAAAATCATGTTCCTTCTTTACTCAGTGTTAAACTTTCAGATGATTACAGAATGATATTATAATTGGCATTTATATAGCGCCAACTTATTCCGCTGCGCTTTACAATATTATAAAAAGGTGGGAAATTTAACAATAAACAAAAATGTTACAGAAACAAAGAGCTTACAGTCTAGAGAGGATATGGTGATAGTCTTGCAGTAAAGTTAATCAAAACAATTATTACATTTCTATATTTAGAGCCCAATCTTAGAATGAATGTAAAAAACTATAGCACTTAACAGTAGATGGATTATAATTAGATGTTTATATATCACCAGCTCTCTGTTGTATTCTATTACATGTGTACTACTATACATAACGCCATGAAGTTTCAGAGCCATTTTGTGTTTTGTGTCTGGACAAACAGCCACTGTTGTATTGTTTCTGACACTACCATACTTGCATTTAAAGCAACGGTTCATGCATCTCAACCACTTTAGCTGAAGTGCTTTATGTGTTAAGAGTGTCCCCTTTTTTTTTTTTTTCTTACAATGCATGCAGAGCTCCTTATTCCATCATTATTATTACTGTATCAATATCACTCATAAAATAAGATACCCTCATCACAATAGTTAAGACTATGTAGCTGGAAACATTACTCTACTTTAAGGAGCACACCCAAATGGAGTTTGTCAGGAAGTGAGAAAATATTTTGGGTGGAGAGTAGTAAAAGGAGACTCTGGTAACATGATGCTGTTTATGGAAATCTTATTAGAGAATTAAAACACGACATTTTCACATTTAAAGATATTGTTTTACAAAAGGTTATAATTCAGCCTTTAGCATGCACATAAATTAGAAATTTTATGTTTAGTTTCCTTAAAAAACAAAAAAACTATGAAAAAAGGAATTATATAAAATAGGCAATCCCTTTTTACAACATTTACAATTGATTTGAAATATGTCGCAGTGGTCAAGGCCAGCCAGGTCTTAAGCCAAAATGTTGCTAATTAATTTTGAATGCACTACAATTTAGTGTTTGGTGAATAAACCATTTGTATTGTGTTAGCAGAACTGTGTGTAAATATATGGACATAAATATATAATTACCTGAAAATTGGTCGTCTGAGATAACGGATGCAGTCAGATGCATGCACATCTAATTGTGATGGTCAGACATATGTGATTTCCCATCATGGAACACAGATGCTGAGGATTTCAACACTCGGAAAGTGCCAAAGACCAAAACTGTATAGTTATGTACATGTAATATCCATCAGAATTGACCAATAATCACACAGTATAATCTAAAAATCAGGAATTAGATGTGCTATAATAGTTAATTTATAGAAGACAAAAATCCTGCATTATTTTTAATCAAAATACATTTATTTTTTTGTAAATGAAAATGTTATTAGTTTATTGAATGACAATACAGTATTATTTATCAGTCTGGTTTTTTTTTACAGTAATATTTCAATCCATATGTCAAGAATATGAGCATTATGCATTCTGCTACATTGTACACTCTAGTTTAAAGCAATTTATTGCAGATAAATACCCCCTTACTCATTATTACTATTATTCTTATATTTAATAATTATTAGTTGCCAAAAACCGGCTATTGCATTAAGCACACCTCCTCCATACGGGAGTACCACAGCTCCTGGTTGGGGCCGAATTGATTGCCTATAAAATAAGTCAGGTTTTTGGCTATATTCAATATGCGCATGTCATGGACTTCTTATACACTGACTTAGGGGTCGTGGTGAGGAGTAGGAGTGGGGCTGGCTAGAAGGGTGACAGCTTGTTATAAAAACAAGAGATGGGGCGTAGCCTGACCGCCGTGCAGCTCAGTCGCACATCCCGAAAGCTCAGAGGGAAAAATCTTCAAAGCACCCTTAATCGATGAAAAACAGTCCACAATTACTCACCGATAGCAGCAAAGCTACTCTATAACCAAGTGGACCCCTCGTTTGATGTTCCAGTTGCAACTTGGGTGGAATTTGGAGGAGCTCGTGGGGCACAAGCTTGCGGCCTACTACAGGCCTACTCACTCAGCAGGACGCCTCACATAGAGTCTACTCCACTCACTCTCCCCCCCCCTACCGGTGAGGGATATCCCGGTACTCATCACACGTGCCTGGGTGACGGCCCTCAAGCAGCACTCCACAGGTCACAGCCACTTTGCCCTCCACAAGATGGCGACCACCACATGTGAAACTACACCTCGAGTCCAGCAGCCCTGTATCCTGGACAGGTTGGACAAATTGTTTGCAGACTTTTGGTCTAAAATCACACACCGCCTGGACACACCAGTGGCGGTCCCGAAGGCTATTTGGCCTCAGCCCACCTCCAACGCCACACAACAGTACCCATAAGGCAGCCTCTAAACGTAAGGCAGCCAAACGCCGCAAATCGAGGCAATTTAGATACCGCCTGCAGAAGCAAGTCGGGGACCGACGCTTTGCCCGTATTCACCATGGAATGCCAGGGACCTACCCATGCTGGATGCCAACATCACACTTGCTGAGAAGACCATCACACTTACCAGGCTCGGGCATCCTCTCACTGTTTGGGCACGTGGACCACTGGCGAGGCGCTAACTTGCTGGAATGTGTTGTATACCCAGAGGGCATAGGCTAATGGGATAACTGGCAGGCATCCATGGGGGGTTCTGTCTCCACATGGATTCCCCTAGGGGTCAGGGTCACTATAGGCACTCACCCACTCCTTGCTTAGGAAATTTTCTTCCTGCATGTGTCCAGATCATATTTACATTCTAATTCTACTGAGCACTTCTACCATGCTATACGCTATCCTGCTTTGAGCTTTTAACGTTATTGCCTACATGTGTTTACCTAAACCGTATTATGTTACTAGCTAGCGCTATCTAAACCTATGCCCAACTAGCAATGTTTTATGCATAAATAGCCTAGCATGATGTATTCTAAAAGACTGATGTCAAGCATATCCTATCACAGACAGTAAGAAAAGCTTACATTCTACCCACTGTCTATAGTTCCTCTTAACAAAAACTAAAAAATGTGCTGATTATTCATATGCCACGTTATGTTTAATATGTCTGTTTCTACTTGCGACTGCTACTGTGGCTGAGCATGCCTATTGTTATACCATGCACAACAGAAAATAAATAATAAAAAAAAAAAAAAAATAGCTAACAGTGTGCAAAACATTTTATAAATGGGCATTCCAGCAGATGTGCAAAGTTGAGCCCTCAGCTTGTCCGCATCTCCAGTAGAGAGCAGATTGGGACGGGTCAATGACCCTCATAACATGCGGCGTTCTGTATAACAAGGTAAGTAGCTTGTAAACCGTTTCCTGGACCCCACTGGAAAGTGCGCAATGGTGTATTATTACATAGTCAGGTCCATAAATATTGGGACATTGACACAATTCTAATCTTTTTGGCTCTATACACCAACACAATGGGTTTGAAATGAAACAAACAAGATGTGCTTTAACTGCAGACTTTCATCTTTAATTTGAGGGTATTTACATCTAAATCAGGTGAACTGTGTAGGAATTACAACAGTTTGTATATGTGCCTCCCACTTTTTAAAGGCACCAAAAGTAATGGGACAGATTAACTGTCATAAATCAAACTTTCACTTTTTAATACACGGTTGCAAATCCTTTACGGTCAATTACAGCCTGAAGTCTGGAACGCATAGACATCACCAGACGCTGGGTTTCATCCCTGGTGATGCTCTGCCAGGCCTCTACTGCAACTGTCTTCAGTTCCTGCTTGTTCTTGGGGCATTTTCCCTTCAGTTTTGTCTTCATCAAGTGAAATGCATGCTCATTCGGATGCGGGTCAGGTGATTGACTTTGCCATTGCATAACATTCCACTTCCTTCCCTTAAAAAAAACCTCTTTGGTTGCTTTTGCAGTATGCTTCGGGTCATTGTCCATCTGCGCTGTGAAGCGCCGTCCAATGAGTTCTGAAGCATTTGGCTGAATATGAGCAGATAATATTGCCCGAAACACTTCAGAGTTCATCCTGCTGCGTTTGTCAGCAGTCACATCATCAATAAATACAAGAGAACCAGTTCCATTGGCAGCCATACATGCCCACGCCATGACACTACAACCACAACGCTTCACTGATGAGGTGGTATGCTTTGGATCATGAGCAGTTCCTTTCCTTCTCCATACTCTTCTCTTCCCATCACTCTGGTACAAGTTGATCTTGGTCTCATCTGTCCATAGGATGTTGTTCCAGAACTGTGAAGGCTTTTTTAGATGTTGTTTGGCAAACTCTAATCTGGCCTTCCTGTTTTTGAGGCTCACCAATGGTTTACATCTTGTGGTAAACCCTCTGTATTCACCCTGGTAAAGTCTTCTCTTGATTGTTGACTTTGACACACATACACCTACCTCCTGAAGAGCGTTTTTGATCTGGCCAACTGTTGTGAAGGGTGTTTTCTTCACCAAGGAAAGAATTCTTCGGTCATCCACCACAATTGTTTTCCGGTGTTGCTGAGCTCACCGGTGCATTCTTTCTTTTTAAGGATGTTCCAAACATTTGATTTGGCCACACCTAATGTTTTTGCTATCTCTCTGATGGGTTTGTTTTTTCAGCCTAATGATGGCTTGCCTCACTGATAGTGACAGCTCTTTGGAGCTCATATTGAGAGTTGACAGCAACAGATTCCAAATGCAAATAGCACACTTGAAATGAACTCTCGACTTTTCATCTGCTCCTTGTAAATGGGATACTGAGGGAATAACACACACCTGGCAATGGAACAGCTGAGCAGCCAATTGTCCAATTACTTTTGCTCCCTTGAAAAGTGGGAGGCACATATACAAACTGTTGTAATTCCTACACCGTTCACCTGATTTGGATGTAAATACCCTCAAATTAAAGCTGAAAGTCTGCAGTTAAAGCACATCTTGTTCATTTCATTTCAAATCCATTGTGGTGGTGTATAGAGTCAAAAAGATTAGAATTGTGTCTATGTCCCAATATTTATGGACCTGACAGTATATTCTGCAATTAAGGAGCAGAAAAGTTATTCCTGAACTAAGCTGGTGGTGGCAGCTTGACCTGTATTTGGAGAGTAGAGTATATATTTGTATGCCAGTCTGGCATTGCAGCGTGTCAAACTGTGCTGCCAACATAATGCCCGTGTCGGCTTCCAGCCTGCCCACATGCTCCGCCAGATCCTGTATATCCTCATGCCGGCGTCGGATATCTGCCTTCACAGAAGTTAACTTCCTGCTGGTCTGTTTTAGTAGAGAGGGCATAGCAAGCTCATTCAGTCTAGTCCTCCCAGCAGTAGTCCAGGTCCATCACAAACTCCGGTGAGACAGGCGGAGAGTATTTCAATTCAAGGCTTGTCTATGGTTTTCAAGTGCAGCAATCGGGCACCACAATAAGGTAACCACGCAACCAGATGGTCAAAGTGCCATTTTCAGTGCAGTAGCAGATGGAAAAAGCACTTGCCAGCGGAAGGTCAGTTGAAGCTCGGACTTAAAGCTGCCATCTTGCTTGGTGGCTCAGTCAAGCCCCCGCAAAAAGAAAAAAAATCAAAAATATTTACACTGATACAATAGATTTCTTCATATACAAAAAATGCACAAAATACTAGCACATACTCATGCTTCCATACATTTCTGTAAAACATGTACTGCACATGTATGCATACATCTTTCATTTCACGGTTAAAAAAAAAAAAAAGAGAGAGAGAAAAAAAATATATAGATTGCATGGTTTATTAACGCCAAATCTACAATTAAAGTTACCAACAGTACAGTTTAAGAAGATAAATTCATTAAACAAGTTAAAAGGATATGTAGTCTTGTATTGACCGTTTGAGATCTTATGCTGGCAGCCATTTCTACAAACAAAATGGAGGCTTCAGGGCAAAACAGCAGGTTACTGACTCCTGGAGGCCTCACCGTCCACCATCTATGTGAAATGCTGTTTTTTGTTGTTTTTTTTAACCCACCTCTGGCTAAAACATAGGAAACCGCATTACCACTGCAGAAGACAGATTTCTCTAATATACATGGAATCTATTCATACACAGGCAGGAAATCTGCAGTTTAAATCACTATCCTGACACAGTGTTGGGATTGTGTCAGACGTTTCCTTCCCAGTTCAACCACTTAATCACTGGGTTTGGCAAGGAATTCTTCAGAATGTGGAACCTTCACTCACTCCACGGTGAGCTGGACACTGTCACTTTGAGTGTGATGATCATGCTTCCGAGCTGGAAAAAAGATGAATATTAAGCAATCATTGAGCATCTGTTTTATAATCAACAGCAATAGATAAGAAAGGCCATGTCATAACAGAAAATGAGATAAAATCCACATCATAATAGTTAAATCAAAATATAAGTTAATCAATAAATAGCAGATATTGCCACTTTTTCAAAGGGGCAATAAGATGCTCTTTTAGGGCAGATGTGACCGTATGAATAAGATAGATATTATATATATATATTATATATATATATATTATATATATATATATTATATATATATATACACACACACACATACATATATATATATATACACACACACACATACATATATATATACATACACACACACACACACACACACACACACATTTTCAATACATGTGTTCCTTTAATCACCCTCAGCATTGGAACAGAACCAGGAAAAGAAAACCAAAATATTTTTTTTACTTCATGGGGACCGGTTCAAGATCAGAGACCATTAACCCCCAATCACTTTTTGACTGATTTGATTGCACACAAACAGAAAACCTAAATTGATGCAGATACATTTTTTCAACCTTTATACAAGTATTATTGAAATTAAAACCTTTAGATAATATACAGTCTCCATCATGCAATAGGTCACAGAGGATCTGAAATATTTGTATAAAAGCAAAAATGCTATTTTTCCCTCACATATTTTTGGAAAAAGCTTTTCAATTTATTTATTATTTTTGGATTTAAAAAAAATAAAAAAAATAAAAAAACTCTCCTTTTTTCAAAATATTACATCACAAAATATCTATATTTAAACATTTCAAAAACATTGAAACATTTTCAATTATATCATATTTAAAGTTTAGCCACAAATATTACATCATTCGAAACGCTTGTCCAAACATTTTAAATCAAGGCCATGGTCAAATACCTTGTTTACAGGTAGTTTTAAAGGACCCTAGAGGCATTACTAGCAGTACAGCTAACCGAAAATGGCAACAGAAGGTAAAGCGAATGAGCATAATGCTAACAGTTAAATGGTAGATTGCATTTGTTACTTCTTTTACTGTTTGGAGGTGAGCAGACATTTTCAGCAAACTTGCAGGTATTAGATCAGGAAGAGTAAGAGAAAGATTTTCCTCTTTAGGCTTGCAATCATTCCAAGAGTATAAATGAGGGTGCATGAGGCTTTACGGACTAAAAAATACCTTAAGGTAAAAATGATGTATATACTGTATTCCGGTACTAAAGTGGTTATTAAGCATAATTCATACAATTCTTTTGTAGGCTTTTCGAATAGCACAGTGTAGATGTGCTTATGTTATTAATTTAGAAGTCTTTATAAAAAAAATGACATTCACTAGCCAATACAAAAAGTGGTTATTCACTAAAAACTACGTTCATCAGCATTAAGGACAACTTGTAACCCGAGAAATTCAACTCTTGATGAGAATGCCCATGGATTATTAACTTTCCAGGTCCATTTGACAAATAGCTTTAATTTGTCATTTAGCCTTCGGAACCTGTATGTTTCCTGTTAAACGGGCAAGTTCATTAACCATTTCTCATCACAATAAATGTCTCCACAACACCAGAGTAATTTTATGGAAGGTTTATACGACCATTAAAAATGGACTTTGACGGCATTTCTCGGGGGCGGAGCCTGACAGCAGAGGCAAGCAGACGCAGGCCTCAGGAGCTCCGAGGACAAAACGGAGAAAATAAACTTAAAAACGGCTGATACGACCCCCAATAACCACTGACTACAAGCGGGCACCCCTTAAGCACTAATGGGACGCAAACACAAGAAACTGTTGCTGGACAAACCAGCCCCAGGACTCACAATAGGGGATATGTGGCGACAAGCACGCGGCCCGAGCGGATCCAATATGGCGGCGCTCCACGGAGGCTGCTCGGATTTCTCCGACGACTGCTCAGAGGGAGCTGACGATGAATGCCTCCTAGCCCCAGACCCAATGCCGAGGGCAAAACCCAACAAACTTAGGAAGGACACAGATGCCGAACTGGTAACAACCGGGGTATTAAAGACCCTGCTAGCAGACCTACAAAAGAACATCCTCGCGGATGTCACTGCACTAAGGGGAGAGCTGAAGGGCCTGACAGGCCGCATCACTGTACTAGAGGAATCATCCCAAGAACAGCAGCACACTATCGCCTCACTGCAAAGCGACATACGGGACCTGCGCAACCAAACTATGCTGTATGAACGGCGCTTCGCAGCCCAAGAAGACGCAAGACGGAGACTTAACATTAAGGTCAGGGGACTCCCAGAGGGGTTGCCGGAGGCTGACCTACCGCACACGATCAAACGCCTGCTTGCCACCATTCTGCCCATGGACCAAGCCAGGGCCGTCATGCCCACGGATCTCTTCCGGATCCCAAAGCCCGCTGGGGCCCCAGACATGGCCACAAGGGACACTATACTTACATTTAAAAATGGGACTGACAAATCGACGGTTCTCACAGCCATCCGGGGTAAAACCCCCATACAATTTGAAAACGCTAAACTAACCTTTTACGCCGACCTATCCAGTGGAACTCTGGCGTGGCGCAGGTCAATGCGGCCTCTCACCTCCACACTCCGGCGCAACAACATACCGTATCGCTGGCGGCCCTCACACTTGCTCCGGGTACAACAAGGCGAAACAACACACCAAATTTACAGTATGCAAGACGCAGAGGCTCTTCTGCACACCCTAGATCCATCACTGGATTCACGCCTACAAGCGGGACCTTGTGCCCCCGCCACCCCGACTCACAGCTGGGACCCAGCAAACAGTGCCCCATTCAGACCGCGGAGCACCACGCCGGTCACCTACGCCTCAGTGACCACATAAATCTTCAGCATCCACCCACTTCCAGCCTCCCGCCCCGGGGCATCGGCTGATCTGCTCATTACCTGGACTGCACCCACGCACTACCGACACACAGAGCGGCGCAGTCCAAGTGGAAAAGTCTCCTGGGAGGTCTGACGAAGACCTAAGCAAAACCCCACTTTCTCTAGGCATCTGAAGAATGGCTACTGAACTTTGCGGAACTTTATTTATTTTATTTTTTTGTTTTGTTTTGTTACTACGTAGATCATATACCAGTTGCCATAAAACGCTGGGCTGCTTGCATTTTGGTTGACTCTGGCAGTTATGCACCTGCAGCCTACAAGCTCTTGGCATCGGCTACAAAGCTCTCAAGGACGCTCAGAGCACGCATACAATGCTTGCGGTACCCATATGTTGAAACGACTAGCCACCCAATGGTTATTATTGTTCTTGTTTTATGTTAATTGTTTTTTTGTTTGGTTCTACGGCGAGTACCTAAATTTCACCACTGAGCCATGCTATAATTTATGTTTAGCACGCAAAGCGTCTGAATATTGCACAGACATCTTAGCTTAGCCTGTGATCACTGGTTCATACCTTATATCTCATGGTTACCTCAAGTTAACTCCTGCGTAACTATTAATGTACAATTGTACTAGTCTCATTACGTGCCCCCACCCTGTTTGGATGCCTCATAGGCTCTGCTGGCCCGTAGCCAGGCAGTGGGACATGACTAGCCATCTTAAATCAATATTGACTGCTTGCAATGTCTGACCACAAATAGTAAGCTCAATTGTTTCAAGCAGCATGTATAGCCAGATTACTACTCTCATTTTACTAAACCTGTCTGAGCTTACCTTTAAACTTATCTTTGCGCTATATTCTAATGACAAAACGGGATAGCCAGGCTGATGATTGGTATAACTATACGTATAACACTGTGCATTTCTCATGACACTGCCCAATTTACGTACAACCTCAATGCTGTTTATAAGCTAAAATTGTGCGAAAGGAAAGGGAAAGGGAAACGGAAAAAAACGGAACAAAAAAAAAAGGGAGCCCACTGCCAGAACTCCTAAAATGCTCAGACCATAACCAAACAGAACCATGCAGCCGCAAGTGGTATATACTCCTACCTTGCTTAAATTGCCATCATCAGGTCTACAACCAAATTTAGCTACTTCCCTTCACTAGTCACTCCAGACTTTTACTGTCTAGCCTGTGGGATATATATAACTTAACAATGTGCCACTATATTACTCCACTACATTACTTTGGTCACTCATGTTTTTCCTCCATCAGTGTTGTGAGGCTTAATCGTTCTTACTAACTTGCCTAACACGACTCGTCACTAAGACACTCTCTGCCCAGACAAACAAGTGTTATGTTTAACTAGTTACCATACTTTAAATATAAAATTTCGTGCTGTTCTCTCAAATGATGCAAAGTATTGTCTCTAACAGTTCTCAATGTCAACCTACATGTATCATTGAATGTACTGCAAATCCTCGCATTTGCTGTTGTGGCAATGCAGGATGTATTGTAATCTCATGCACGTTCAAAAATAAAGAATAAAAAAAAAAATGGACTTTGACATGACTCCACAAGGGCCCAGAAAGGTGCCCTGGCTGGTGGTCCTCTGTGGACGCAGATCAACACTCTAGTTCAGGGGTTCTCAACGTTAGTCCTCAGGACCCCCTACCAGTCCAGGGTTTAGGGATTACCTGGGCGTGTCTAAGGTGTTTAGAAAAAAAAAAAAAAACACCTTAGAGTCTAAGGTGTTTTTTCCCCTTTTTCTAAACACCTGAGACACACCCAGGTAATCCCCAAATCCTGGACTGGTAGGGGGTCCTGAAGACTGGGTTGAGAACCCCTGCTCTAGTTGGTTGTTTCCTCAATGTGAATACAATGTAACCGTTTAAACACCTCGAGATCGTCTAAGTTGACAATATTACATATATTTCTTTCATGTTCAGTATATAAAAACTTTAAAAAAAATATCTTGGAAATAGTTCCACTATTTGTTGTATGTTATAAGACCCAGTAAAAATATTACGGAGTGCAAACGTTCAGGTCTATTCATTAAAGTGAGAGTTCAAAGTGTACTTCAAATTTAAAGGAACACTATGTAGGGTCCCTGCACCCCTTAAAGAAGTAAAAAAAGAAAAAAAACTCACCATTTTCACCATCCAATGCAGCACAGGTCTGCCAGCACTGGCTCCGCCCACAATCCACCAATGACTGACATCGGAATTAATTATCTCAGCCAAGGAGGTGGTTTGGGGGCCAAACGCCACCCTAGCCATTCAGCATCTCCTTACTGAGATGCATTGATTCAATTCATTTCTATAGGAGCACTCAACGTCTCCATGCAGTGTGTCCGGAAGTGGCCACTAGAGGTGTTCCTATGCACTTACGCAAAAACTACCTTTTCTCTGAAAAGGCAGTGTTTACAGCAAAAAGCGTACGAGGACACAGTATAGACACAAGAAAAAAAAAAACTGCATTAAGCTGTAGTTGTTCTGGTGACTATAATGTCCCTTTAAGGTCCAAATGCATTTACTGAAAATCTATTCTTTCAGTTTGGCTACACTGGCCTTAAATTTGAAATTAACGTTGAATTCTCACTGTAGTAAATAACCCAGTAGATGATAAAGTAAATGCCACTTAAATTGACCCCGACGCTTCCGGAGTTATTTATTCTACTAATTAAGAATCTGATCCTAGAGAGGAAATCATAACACTCCATCTATAGTGGTGTATACAGTGGCAATGCATAGTGCTTGCCTTGTTGAATATCAATTTAAATTTGGCCTATGTATAGAAATCTCACCAATGTAATACATCTCCAGCTGCTGACGCAAGCGAACCTTCTTGATGTCATCATAGAAGTTTGTTTCAGAAGTTTCAACGGTAGGGGGCACTGTGAAAATTCTCATAATCTTTCTTTTATTCCTAGACAAACACAGACACAATAAAATTATATAAAAACAATAAATAAATTTAAAAAAATAAATTAAAAAAAAACCACACAATTTCATATACTTGTACACTGCCATTTTGTTTCATCCCAGAATCCTTTGACTAAAGATGCCAATCCGGAGGCATGCATATTTTTTGTGATGTGGGTTTTTCCCCTCCACAAATAATAAAAAAATAAAAAGTAAGTGCTGTGAAATTAACTGTTTTCTTTCAAAAATTGCCCAAATACAGTTGGCCATATTCCTGAAAAAAACAGTTTGTCATGTGGCACTTTCAAGGAAAAAAAAATGTGCATGCTTTAAAAGTGTAGCTGAAGAATAGAGGAGTTCATTTTAAAAAATTGCAAAAAACAAGCTTTACTCACTTTCTCGCATACATGAAGAGTCCAAAACTAACAAGAATTACTATCAAGTAGACGTTGGTGGCCTCATTCCATGCTTCGTGAACAGAATAGTCAATAGTACCATCATCAGCCATTAGACCGTATCCTCCAGCCATATTCTGTGCAATAGAGAAAAAAAAGGTTAGAACAAAATATTTTAGGAGCAACAATATTGATACCGTGTCTGAGATGTATGTGTTGTTAATACAATGCTATAATTAAATTGAATACATAGTAATATTCTACAGCTATTTTCTCATAATTGTTCCCAATTAAACACCTGCATCTTTGTTTTAAAAGACCACTAAAGTCACCAAGAACACATCATCTAAATGAAGTGGTCTGGGTGCAGTAGTCCTGTAGTTTTAAACCTTCAAGGTAGAACTCTGAGGTTGCAACTCACAGGAAATAATTGGATTCAATGCTTTCCTATGAGAACCAGTGGGTGCGTGTGGTCTTCAGTGCATGCACATCAGATCCCCAATACTCTTCTATAACAACACAGGTGGTGGAGAGGTCAGCAGCTCCATGGGCGTCTCAGTGGTGGAAAAGGGTTAGTAAAATACATTTTTAGTGCAAATAAGGGGCAGGGAGGACTTTTATTATTGGGGGTAAATAATTCATACTTTTTATTTGTATATATACTAGTCTGCAACTTCTGGTGAATTTACAGTTTTTTGCTCTTTACGCCATTGAGCCTCTGTATGGAGTTTTATTTGTATATTCTGCGTTTTGTGGAGTTTGGGTGGCAGCAGGTATTTTTTTTGTGTGTTTTATGTCTTTGTTAGTTTTTGAATTTATTTTAGCTTCTGCAAGGATATCTCCTGAGACAAGAACCTGGCTGAGGCCTCACAGTCAATCCTGGTCTTCATTGTTTTTCTCCCTAATGGCAGCACTCAATGTATTTCATAAAGCCCTGAGCAGGAGAGATTTAGTGGTATGTAGTTGATATGCTGGCACTAACAACACCCAGATTGCACTACTTATATTTCTACTGGATTTTGGAAAATAAAAATATATAAATGGCATTTTTGTGCACATAAGTAACACGCACCATGCAGCCTTAATTAATTTGAGTTGCATTACTCATGTATAAAAATACAAAATATGCACAATATTGCCACAAAAGTATGTATGCATACAATGTAATATCTTGCTGTTAAAATGCTTGAGAGATAAAAGGTGAACGAAAGGATGCTGCTAGGTGTGGCGCTTTAAAAATAAGCAAATGGACCCATTGAATCATCTATTATGTACTTACAGGATGGCCTGGATGCAATGAAACGTTCCTTCCTCACCTGAAAACAGAAATAAACAAACAGAGTTTAGGCAAACAAAAAGTAAAATAATTTGTGCTGGTGCCAGTTCTGTTTTTTAAGCCAGGCGAATTGTAAGTCTTTTAATTATGACATCACCCATGCAAGTTGGCTATGACATCACATTTGTTTTATCAACAGAGTCATTGAGGCAACAGCCATGTATTGAAACAGTTTGCTGCTACCACTTTTCCTTAGGAACATATATTGGGATAATGACAAGGAAAGAGCTTTCACATGCTACTGCGGACCTCAGATCAACTTGGAAGGCTGCTCACATGGAAGACAGGTAGGCCCTTTATGACTTCTTATCAACAGTGTTGTCACCTTGCATGAAGGCACTTAAGATGCTGATTTAACACTGAAGCCCATAGTTTACAAAATATTGGGTATGATTAATAAAGTGGCAAGACTGTCATCATGCCAAAATTGTGTAAATCCAGTTTGTGATATACCGTATTTATCGGCGTATAACACGCACCTTATTTTAAGAAGGAAATTTCAGAAAAACAAAAAACACATTTCAAATAAAAAACTTCTTACCCCCCTTTCTTACTCCCCCCTCCCCCTCTTCTTACCCCCCTTTCTTACTCCCCCCCACACTCTCTATTTACCCCCTCCCCTGTAGCGTGGCCGAGCTGCTCTGCTGTCCGCGGTGGCCGGCCAGTGTGATAGGAAGGTGCACGCTCAGTGTGCACCTTCCTGTCAGTCCGACCGGGTACAGGAAACAGAAATTCCTGTTGATTCCCATGATTCTCAGCCTATTTCCCATGTACAGAATCATGGGAGTTATAGTTCAGCAACATCTGGAGGGCCAGAGTTTGGGGAAGCCTGTCTTATATAGTGCTGCAGACTACAAATATTTAAAATAAGAAAAAGAAAGGGGGGGGGGTGCACCTCACTGTAACAGGTAAGCAAGCAAATTTTAAAAGGAAGAAAAAAATCCTTCACCTAGTAATATTACTCATTTATATTATTTTGATAATGGAATCGATATTAAAATCATAAGGAAAAAAACTGAGCAAAATCTAACAAGGAGGAGGGGAAAAAAAAAGTAGTAGAAAGATGGATTTTTGGGGGGGTTCGCACATTACAAAAAAAATAAAAAAACAGAAAAAAAGTCATCAATGTATAAAAGGCTGGAGTAACATCTTTATGAAATACTCATATTGAATGTAGAAATTCCAGCACAGTCAGAATTTATACTAAGACAGAGTAGGGACTACATTGACTCCGTATTTTTCCTCTGCTTCACAAAAGCAGAGCTACCTTTTGTCAAGCTTATCATATGTTCCAGCTGTCACCAGGGACAACTATAAGGAAAAAAAAAAGAAAAAGAAAAAAAAAAGCTCTTTCTATGGAGGATCCTATAGTCTTGCATGTTCCTCCACAGACCTCAATGCTGTACTCTCACGCACACGCATCAGTACATCGCTGACATTGGCTCCTGGCAGCTGAAGCATAGCTACAGAGGAGCGAACAGAAGGCGTCGGCGGCGCCTGCGAGGGCCAGGATTGGGCACGTACAACGTACCTTCCTCTATCCCCCACGGCCACTGGATCCTCAGCAGTGATGTCACCGTCAGAGTTATTTGAAAAATTTAAATATATAAAGGGAATCAACACAGTAAAGGAGGAGACTGTATTTAAAAGAAGAAAAACTACCACAACAAGAGGACATAGTCTTAAATTAGAGGGACAAAGGTTTAAAAATAATATCAGGAAGTATTACTTTACTGAGAGGGTAGTGGATGCATGGAATAGCCTTCCAGCTGAAGTGGTAGAGGTTAACACAGTAAAGGAGTTTAAGCATGCATGGGATAGGCATAAGGCTATCCTAACTATAAGATAAGGCCAAGGACTAATGAAAGTATTCAGAAAATTGGGCAGACTAGATGGGCCAAATGGTTCTTATCTGCCGTCACATTCTATATTTCTTTGCAAAATTATAAAAGGCGGTGACTGGGCTGCTTTAATGGCGACAAAACACGACTTCGGTTATGACTGAGGCCTAACGGCTTATTTACTAAACAGCAAATTTAAAACCCAAATTGCAATGTTCAGGAAATAGGCTGCAATGGGAGAGTGTTAAAATGGTCATTAATCAGCTATTTTTGCTTCAATTTAGATTTAATACACTATAATTTCCTGTTTACTAGGGAAATCTTATTATCTCACATTAGCCTGACAGTACACCCCTGACTACACACTGGCCTCTACCTGCCTGGGGCTGGCTGTGTACTCAGTGCCCTGCAGCCACTTACCATAGAGAGCACATTCAGGGCATTTACCATAGAGTGTCCTAAGAAAAATGATAGAACACCGGGTCCCAGCACACTGACCATAGAGTATACCGTGTACCAGTGTTCCCCGGGCTCCAGCTCACTTACCATAGAGTTCGGCGTTTGTGCAGAACGTAGCTCTTGCAAGGTTCCAATTTCCCCACTGGCCTTGGCTAACTCAGGTTACTTCCGGGATAGCGCATGAAAGCGCCTCCGTGATTGGTCAGCGCCTGCCGACTCTGATTGGATGAGATGGTTCTTGTTTACTTCCTCTTAAAGGGGTAAATGCAGGAACAGGTTTACACTAGAAATACTGTGACGTACATACTCTTCTGTTTGTATTGTGTTGGGGGGTGGCTAGTTTTTCAAGGGGGGCGGAGACTGAGATGCAAAATTTTATAAGATTCTGAACATTATTTTTAATCATCCTGAAATCTTTGTTTCTTTATAAAAAAATAAAATAAAAAAAAGAGTGTAAGAGTGACAAATATATGATAATAGGATATTAATTTTAATACTTTATGAAAAATAAGTATACCACAGTACCTGCCAGCCTAAACATTCATTTTACGTTTGGGTGAAATGGAACCCATTTTTCTATTTTCCAATTGTTTTCCTTTTTTTCCATTCTTTTATTTAGTTTTTTTATCATTTGGCCAACAAGCTGAGCTATATCCTTTATTATTATTATTATTGCGATTTATATAACGCCAACAGGTTCGCTATATAGCGCTTTACAATATAAGGGACTACTCATTCCTATTGTTTATAGGAGTGGTTCCCAAATTTTTGAGTTTCGAGGCGCCCTAAGTCAAAGTTTCTAGGTTGTATCTGTAAAGCGCTGTGGTATTAATTGGCGCTATATTGTAATGTACAGTGTTGGTATTTGAAAGGGGTGCTTGTATATAGTTTGTGTTTTTTTTTGTAAATCTGTCTTTTATTGATACACAGCGCAATACGCTACAGAATGCAAAAAAACAAGGTAAAGGAGTTATTGCATATGGTACGATATTAAAAATACACTTGGTATGTATTCTCCTGGATAATCTGTCTCATTTTTTATTTAATTTTTTTAAAGTAACTTAAACATCCTAGTCTAACTAGAAACAACAAGTTTTACTATATAATGATGCTTAACCGTTAATGGGTAATTCAGTGCAGCGTGAAATGTTAAATAAATGAGTGAGACTTGTACAGTACAAGTTGATTGAAAAGATAGGCTATGAGGTATGCATCTTCTATGTACTGGGGGGGGGGGGGTTTATTCAAGGTTTATTTGCGTAGTTTTTACATACATCAGTAAAGGCAAATATGTGTATCAGGAGTAATATGTAGCTTTACAGTTACACGGTATAGCACATTATTTGATAACATAACAGACAATAATATGAGCCTACAGCACACTGTTTAATCTGAGTATGTCTCAGCGTACTTCAGTCTCAGTACGTTATTTTAATTTAGGTCCGGATATCACAGCAGTGTGAAGTCGTGGCATTGGGTCGGTAGCCAGTTATGTCGGGCAGTTCCGGTTTTGGTGGAATTATAAGGTTCTGTCGCGTTCTTTCATATGAAGTCAGGGATTAATTATGTTTCGTTTGCTGGGTGCTGTTGGCTTATAATGGTAAGACAGTACATTTAGGCGTTGTAACAGAGAGCCTATTTCATCTTAAGGTGCCTATCTAGTATATCTAGCCTACTTGGTCTAAGTCTAAGTCAACGTCCACGAGTTGTTAGCCTAAGTCAGTAGAAACCTCTGTTTAATTTTGGAACAGGTCTCCCCCGCCCACCCCATTCAAACATAGCAGTCTGTGACAGTCAGGTGTATACAAGCAATGTAGCCTTACGTATAATGTGTGTCTTAGCTCATATCTGTGTGCTGTGTTTAAGCGATAGGCCATATATAACAACAATTAGCTTACGCCCATGCGGTCACTGTAGCGTTAACAGCGTATTCATTTTTATAACGAGATTATATAGAGCGGTAAAACTAATCAACTGCAGTAGACGAATGCTCACAACCGAGCATAACAAGATACCCTAAACTCAAATAGTAGGAGAAATTAAGAACGATTAAAACAAAGTAAGAAAGCCATAGAGTCTTCCCCCCCATTCATCCCGTTCAGATACGGCAATCCCTGGTATGCAGAAGTTGGCAAACCATGGTAGACTGTCAGCAGCACGGCAGCCTCTGCCCCCAGAGGCACCAGGACCCCCTTCCAGATCCCCCTTCAGTCCTAACCCTCCAGCAGAGTATCCTGTGGCGAAGTGGGCACTCGGAAAATGAGACAGTCCGCTGGGCCCCCCCACCTAGGGTCCATGGCCCATCTATCTCCTGCACCTCCCCTGCACCTTCAGGGGCTCAGTGAGGCATCACCCCCTCCAATATCTCTCCCAGCTCCGGCCACATACTTGGATCCGCCGTGTGTCACTCATGGTCACCGGTACACCGTTGCTCCACACAGACTGGCTCCACAGGACTCACGGCTTTGGGGACAAGTCCCTCCAGGCCCCCCACAAACCCAGAGGTCGAGGGCAGCATGCCTCCGGTGGGTAGACTTTCCGGGTGGCTCCTTCCCGGGTCATCGATCCCCCGGGGTCCGAGGCCCCATGCTGCAACCCCACATGTGAGTGCGATCCCGCATACCGCCACCTCCAGGCTTAATGCGCATGTTATGGATATGGCAGGGAGAGCAACATGTTTGGCTGTGAGTCAGGTTGCGGTCAAGTTCCAGGTCCGCTCCAGCTGTCTGGCTTTTGTACCCCCCACCGTCCGGAAGGTAGGGGGGGGGAGCGGTGCCGGGCCCCAGTCTGCCATCAGTTACATGCCTTGCAGGGCCGTGGGCATGCTTAGAAGTGGGCCAGTCTCTTCTCCTCCGTTGCGTGTCGTCGTAGTGAAGCGTGGAGGTAGGCCTGATGTGCCGGCGGGCCCGATCTTTTGGTATAAAGGCTCCGGGGCCGGGATCTCCCGGCTGTTGATGTGTTCCCACAGATGAGTGTAGCGGTATCTGGTTGCTAGCTCTTTTGGCCCTATATCTTCGTTTTTATGGAGTGGGGACCGGAGCTGATGATAATGGCTGCTGTTCAGCTCGGCGGCCCGGCCCCGCCCCCCGTGAGTGGTTATTTTAATGCACCTAAGATGTAGGCTGAATACAAGCTGAATTAGTGTCTAATGTGGTGGGTCACGTTGGGGTCAGCAAGCTTGAGACATTAAACATATTAAACTGTTTAACCCCTTCGCGACCTCTGACTGTTCAGGACAGTCATTGCAAAAATCCCCTTGAGGACCGGTGACAGTCCTGAACCGTCATAACGGTAAGATGTACTTACCCGATCGGCGTTGCTCCCGGTGTGGGGAGACTGCCTGCAGCCCAGACAGCCTCCCCGCGGTGAATTAGGACCCCGGGGGCCATGTGATCACTCAACAGAGCATTCACATGGCTACAATAGGTGTCCAAGTGTCTGCCTGCAGGGGGGCTGTCTGTGCTGACAGGCAGTCTACCTGCTGCTGTAAAATAAATTTTAAAAAATGTGTCCAAGTGTCTGCCTGCAGGGGGGCTGTCTGTGCTGACAGGCAGTCTACCTGCTGCTGTAAAATAAATTTTAAAAATGTTAATAAAAAAATATAATTAAATATGTGTGAAATAAATGAGCGAGACTTGTACAGTAATATAAAAATACATTTATAATTAAATTACACACGTATTGTTACCGGAGGAATAACAGGAACAAACGGCAGAAGCCACACATATGGACACAAGTCTTCAGAAAGAAACAGGTCTTTTATTTACACACCGATCGGGTCTGAGCCCAGAGCATAGTTTGCATGGGCTATTTATTAACAATAACTCCTCCCATTCATAGCTCCACTCACACATACCCTTAGACAAATCAGTGAAAAGGATATTCAGGATCCCCTAATATGGGCAGACCGTATGACTCCTTTTAAGGACAAAGAAATATTGTTACCGGGAAACTGACTGAGGCCAAGCACAGAGAGATGGACACAGGTTTCTTCAGGAAGGAAGAGATCTTTATTCGATTCACCGACCGGGACTCAGAGGGACTTATGTCACCAAAAACAGCAAAGATCTGAGCACTGAATACATAGAGTACATTCCTTATATAGCACTGTAGCTCCTCCCATAATTAGCTACGCCCACACATACCCTTAACCTAATCAATGAATAGAGTCTAAACTCATCCATCCGGTCTAACCACGTGGCTCATCTGAAACAAAGGAGAGGGACGCGTAATTCCAGTTCCTGCATTCCTGCACATGCTCAGTACAGTGATGACAGTATCTTAGCTACGTGTAACTAACTAACTGATACTACAAACACATGTACCTACATAAGCCTTGTGGCAATCTTGGCCTGCTAAACTTTTATTTTACTGGAATTCCATCACATTCCTCCCTTTGATGCTTCTGATTTAAAATAATTCCAGATGCATCACCAATCATAGTTTGCATACACCTCAAGTTGCCATAAACCAGACTAGACTTTGCGATCCTCTAAAGATACAAACCCCTCAACATTCCTCTTCCTGCATGTATTCTCCTTGATCTAGAGCTTCATACCTGCAAACAGCCATTACCTGTGCTGCGGCCTTTCGTTCTGCTATACTTTCTATAATGCTCTGCATAGACCTAATTACCAAATGAATCAGACATGGCAGAAGGAGACACAACATCAAAAATCAGTATGACTCCACCTACCAATGCCTTGATTCCTCCAAACTGCTCATACCAACTACCAAACCAACTACTCGGATTATACCCTTTCCATACCTGAATAGGTACATGTGCTAGCTTAACCATATGGCTGGTAAGCTAGGCTATTGCTTGCCCTTCATCATCTATTTGAAGACAACAATTGCTTAGATTAAACTTCCCACATACACCTCCCTCTACTGCCAATAGGTAATCCAAAACTAATCTATTCTGGTAGATGGCTGTCCTCATCCTAGTGTTATGCTTCGCTAGGAGATTGAGCGCTTGTGATGTTTCATTGGTAACTATCTCAACTACTGCTTGCAATCTTATAATACGATTAAGCATATATATTGGGGTTCTGTATCCATAAGTACCATCCTCTGCCCACGTAGCTGGCCCATAATAATCTATAATACGCTGGGGAGGCCACTCATCATCTTCCCAGGTACCTATCTCTAGGGGTGCCCTTTTCTTCCTATGATTTACATCATATACTTTAACTCCCAAAGTCTCTCCTGTTTCAATTGGCAACAAGAAGAAGGATGGTTTGAGCATACCCAATACACATGCCCCTTCCCAGTCCTGTGGTAA